TATGATCTGGTGATTTTCACTACGTGATATATTATTTCACCTTCATTAATCGATGATTTATTCATGGGATATTATTGGCACCCATTAACGTTTCACCACGATCTGATATAGTAGTAACCCATTAAATCTTGACAGCAATGTAGCATATTATAAGCGCTGCCCATTAAGCTAATAAACAGTACCAAATAACAAACCCCTTAAAAAATTTCAACGACAGTGACAATTAAAATACATAACACATATCAAAGAAAATAATGACTTAATTCAAGCTGTCGATGTACCATACTATTGCAGACAAAATGTTAGGGAGGAAGCCCTCCTCGATAGAGGAAAGAACGATAACAATTTATTGGACCCACGAAACTTATTTTCGTCAAAATTTGATTTAATAAAAAGATTTTGCAAAGTTAAACCGACACTAACTAATTTGGTCTAGGAATGCGGAATGTTTCTTTATAAGGAAACGGCTTATCCTACCACTAGCTTTATCATTTAGCCACTGAAATTAAATATTATTATTCAACGTTTTATTAGTAAATCCTAATTTCTTTTTTATAGGCTTCTTATTTGCATCATCGTCAAATCATATCTTTAAATGGAATTTGTCGACAACTGACTTTGATAAGAAAATAATACATTTTCGATACGATTTTATGTCGGAACAGAGAAAGACATCTTATAGAAATGTATCAAAAAAGAAATTTAGTTTATATTAAGGGCTACAAGAAATATGTTATTTTAAAAAAAACAGGAGATGTTTTATTTAGATAAAGCAACTTCATGCGTATATCTGATGTCAAGATTAAATCTCCCGATAATACATATTCGTAGGTCGTCTAGCTCTCAAAGAATCATCTCGCTATATAGGTTAAATAATTCCGATTATAAAATGTATACTTGTATTAGTCTGTAGTGGGAGTTACCATTGTTATGAGGTGTGGTCTTTTTTCCTGTTACCATGGAACATTTGCCTTGGAAACGGATATTTAGTTGACTCATCTGAGTTCCGGTAGGATTAAGAAATACAAAACATGGAATTTAAACAAGCACCAATTAATGCATGTAAATAACAAAATGAGTTGCATGGGTGCACTATTGAAATCAAAGGAAAACGCATTAAAATAGCCTAAAGGATTTGTTTGTTTTTTGCTTGTTTTAAACATGCATGTGTAATATATTCGTTTGTGTATGTGTTTGCGTGTGAGAGCTATATAGTCAGGGAACCAAATAAACGAACGTGACCTAGCAGGGGACAACTTAACTATGTGCGACTACATCTGGAAGAAAGTAGAAAAAGAGGGAAAGAGAAGGAAATGTTTGTTTTTTTGTAGATTTAAATAGAGCCACCTAACGGACGTTTTGTGGAAATCAAGTAAAGTAACTCACATGTATTTTCATTTTCTATCCCCCATGCCGTTTTTTTTTCTTAGCCAAGAAATATTTATGGTTAGCCAAATATCTCCCCAACATGAATCTAATTATCGAAACGTAAAGACAACTATTCTATGGAAAGTAGTTAAATCTGATTATTTAGTTGTCTAAACACGTTTGAACTCAAGGCTGGTGCGTAATTACTATTCAGAAGATATGAGGAAGTTCGGAGGGTTAACCTGAATCCAATCGTATAGTAGTTTTTTTTTTTAAGTAAGGTTTTCTTGACACAAGGTCACAAAAATGGGGCAAATAGTAAGGATTAAACTCCCTACTAGTTAAGGCACAGTTAGAAAGCGTTCATCTGTGTATCTTCACAAAGTTGGCGATCATGGCTCTCCACAATTTCCTGTCTTTTTAGCTCTTAATAAATATTGTCTTTTTTGCCATCTCCCCCAAACTCTGCTCCAACCATCCTTTCACTCAAGCTCAACAGGTTATACGTTCATTTTCTCCATGTCTCTTGCGCTCAGCCAGTCCTTGTGAGTATAAATTTTCCCAGCATTCTTTCCTCAATATATGCCCTAGAAATATCAACTTTCTCTTCTTGATGATAAGTATAATTGTCTTTTTTTCTTACAATTGTTTCTAGAACTTCGTCGTTACTCACATATTCGGTTCATAATATTCACAGCATCAGTTTTTATAACCACATTGCTGTTGGTTCAAGTCTTTCATTCATCTGTGAGGAGATTATCCAGCATTCACTTCCATACAGGAGAACTGACATTATATAACGGTGCAGTAGTTTTAAGTAGTATTAATGTTCAACATAATTAGTTCGTTAAGTGTTCATCCACCCCAAAGGGACCGCAAATTATATACTAAGCATAACTTAGATTAATTCAATGAAGAACAAAATAACTTTTCCGTATAAACGTTTAACCCAATAAGCTCATTATGTCTAACCCAGCCCTAGGCGCCTCTTTAGCTTAGACTTGACAGAAGGCCACAATTATGAAACTCACAATGACGATTAAATTCACTATTCCGTAGTAATGTTCAACCCAATTAACTCGTTATACGCTACCATGTAACTAGAGTCGGTAACATATTAATTAAGGTTAGCATAGATTTGAGAGAAAGTTATAAGTATGAGACACTCTGTGAGGAACAAACTCATTATTTCGTAGTAATAATTAACACAATTAGCTCGTTAAACACTACCATACAACTAGATGCCGGTAACATATTTATTACGCATATATAGATTTAACAGAAGGCGACAAGAATGAGAGAACCTGTACGGATACTACTGACTATTCCGTAGTAGTGTTTAGTCAATTCATCTGGTTTTATTTCTGTATCTGTCTATATTTCTGAGATGAGTTATTATGTATATTATTTACATTATTCGGACTATTGTCCTCATATTTTGTCGCCATATTTATTACAACACAGAACAGTCCACCCCAGAGAGCGAAATAATGGTTTAAATTCGACATTACAAACAACCTGAAGAAAGCCTGAGCGTACAACGGCCGAAACGTTGTAATAAATATGGCAACACATATGAGGACAATAGTCCGAATAATGTAAATAATGTCGTTTTATTTCTATTTTATATTCGGTTTATTAATTACATCCTATGACATGCGTTTCTATTTGGATCAGAACAGTCGTCTGCATTGTCATACTCACAACGTTTCAGTCACTGTATGCTCCTGTCTTCTTCAGGTGTCTCTCGTCTACCTCGGTAATCATGCAATTTGGAACCCGAATTATCTATACTTGGATAGGGTGTACCAATTTCTTTTTTTTTTTAGCCCTTATCCGTATCTTCCATTGAATTTGAGGATGTTCGGGTGGTGTAATAAATAGTGACTTTGGATGAGAATATGGAGGTACGGTGAAGTAATGGATAGCGACTCAGGTTTAGGAATCGGAGAGTTGAGTTCAAATCCAGTAAAATCCATTACATTCACTTACATGCTAATACCCTTGGAAAAGGCATGGATCCTCTTCTCCCTTCAGCTATGGGTAAATAGCAGGGCAGACCGGTTTCTATAGCATTGTATGGCAACTAATCTACTGTAGAAAGAAGTGGCAACCTAGAGCGCAAAAAATCTGCCTCGATACATATATCGAAAGATACATGATCGCCCAATCGTGTATCACGCATGACACTTTACTGACAGGTTTGGTGGGGGAGAAGAGGCGGATTTATGCCTTTTTCTAATAGTATTTTCGCGTAAATGAATATAACGGACACACCTACTGAAATAAAAAAAAAATGAAAACAATATTCGCTTGAAAAAACGGAGAAACTATGATTAATATGATTCGGTTGTAAATAACTCTGAAAGTGATTTTTGATTGATTTTTTTTTATCATTTGCAGGTTATTTCAATATTTCTAGATTTTAAGAATATTTGTTGGAGATACTAGTGTTTTTGTGACAATAACAGACACGGAAAAGAAATTACAAAATCTCCTACAGAAGATAGCGACAGAGAGTAAGAAGAAGGGACTAATCATAAAATCCAAGAAGAGTGAATGCAATGACATCAGTAAAAGGATGGCTCAGAAATGCGATTTGAAGATCGGGAACATTAGAATCAAGCAGACGCGGAAGTTTAAATATCTGAGAAGCGTTTTGCCCTGAGGACGGTAAATGCGACACTGAGATCCGTTGTCGTATTGGAACAGCCAAAAACGCATTCCAAAAGCTGGGCAGAGTATTGTGAGATAGGAGGATGTCTTTAGTAACGAAGAAATGAATACTGAGCTGTTACGTGGCATCAGTCCTTCATTACAGCAACGAATGTTGAACGATTTCCCCAAAGATGAAGAAGAAACTCGAGGCGACGGATATGTGGTTCTACAGAAGGATGCTGAGGATGCCATGAACCGATCGTGTGAGTAAGTGGTAAGGTCTTAGAGAGGTTGAAAACAAGGCGGTGGCTTATACTTAACATCAGGAAGAAACAGATGAAGTTTCTGGGACACTTAATGAGGAAGGAGAGCCTGGAGAATCTAATACTCACGGGTCGAATACAGGAAAAGAGAGACAAGGGAAAACAATGGCGAACTTGCGCATGTGGATGACAGAACGTGGTCTGGGGGCATGCAGAGGGAAGGAACTTGTTGTGAGCTGCAAGAGATAGAGCCATGATCGTGTACGACCTGAAAGTACATGGCACATGAAAGGGGAAAAAAGGACACATAATGAGGAAAAAGGGCCTGAAGAAGCTGATACTCACAGGTCGAACAGAAGGAAAGAGTGACACGGGAAAACAACGTATGACATACCTAGCGGCCTTAAGCAAGTGGATGACAGAACGTGGTCTGGAAGAGGAAGCAGAGGAAAAGAACTTGTTGAGAGCTGCAAGGGATAGAGGGAGGTGGAGAGCCATGATCGTCTGCGCCCTGAAAGGATATGGCACATGAAAAGAAAGACAGAGATACAAGTCTTATTATTTAATCCATAGTTGGGAGGAGAAGTGGTGCATTCATACTTCCCCGAGTTATATTTGAATATAACGAACTCGATAGGAATTGGAACTCGGCACTCTGATTAACAACTCCGAACCATTACCAAGTACACCTCCCTAATATACAAGCTTAGAGCAGTTGGTATTCGCAAGCGATCACCCATCTACGTACTGATCAGGCTCGACATTGCTTAACTTTGCTGATCGTATGAAAACAGGTGTTTTAATGTGATATGTCCATAAGCCTAGAAATTGTTGATATGCCGTAGAAAATAAATAGTTTTTAAGCATTTCACCCCCAAGCAAGGCAGGAGTATCACTAGCACGCAACGGTGTTACAGAGAGTGGGAGCAAGAGTAAAGATGTGTGAAAGGATGAAGACAAGGGCGGGGAATTACATCTGAAGATGTCGATAGATAATGCATTTGAATATTTGAAGATTATAGCTATCAGGGAAGCAAGTAAGAGGAAGGGAGTTCTACAGACGGGAAGTGCGAGACATGAAGCTATTGGAGTAAAAGAGACGGCTACATTTAACCGTTTTGACATTGAAAGAAATGGATTGAGATGCCAATATAGTAGGACGTATTAATTCATCGAATTTGGGAACCAGAGACAGTAGTTCTTTGGAGCAGCCAAGTATTTGTAGAAAAGACAGAGGGAAGCGACGGCACGTCTGTGAAAAAGTAACTGTAGACAAGACGCTAGATCAAGACCAGACTACTTGCATATCCGTCTCTGGATTTTGTTTTGCCTATTATTCTTTAATTCTACCGACGTAGGAATGGAAATCACGATTGTTAGAGATTTATAAAAAGCAAAAAAAAAAAAAAATGACGTAATGCTTCAATCCATTAGGCCATATGGCTTTTAGCCAACTATGCTTGTCCGAATTGAAAGACGTAAAATTATATTATTTCCTAGTCTGAAATATTTCGCCAGAAATCTGATGAATTTGTTTATCTCTGGGATTGGCGGTGTTTAAACTGACAATGCGAGAAAGAGACGCCAAATAAAAGAAACCCGTTCTATTTCATTATTTAATTTTACCATCTTTGAATACAGATGAGGAGTTGGAAATTATCGCCTGTCATTTTTGTTACAAAAAATAATTCATATATCCTATGTTTATTTATTTATTTTTTTCCTAAACGATTCCTTCTTTGTTTGATTGTATTAGCTGCTTTCATTACATTCAGTTATTTAGTGTTTATTTGTTCCCAATAATTGCTTTTCGGAAAGTGCCAAGTCCTGGAAACATTATTAGTCGGGAGGACGGAAATGACGAAAAGGTTTCAAGATCGCTCACGTTCCTTTGGCAAGAACACTCTTTACAAACTCCTTTCCTCCTCGTCTGTCCCATAGGAATTTTTATTAATAATATTACATATGCTAAAACACTTTTTTTCGGGTTCTTACCTTCCAAAATTTAACATGATCTTCCAAAATTTAAACGCAACTTCAACCACTATCTTGTGTTTCTGTGAATCTGGTACTTTTGATGTCTTCTCTCCTCAATACCGTTTTTCCCAGTTTGTTTCCTTCTTACTAAGCCTTTAATTTTTAATGGCTTTATCGTCCTGCTTTTGGTTAAAGGATATATATATATATATATATATATGAAAATTTCTCCGATTTAACTAGTTTTCCTATTGCCATATATATATATATATATATATATATATATATATATATATATATATGTTATAAGTTATTACATTCGAATATACAAGTTACCACTACAATAGTGTATATTTGTTTCGATGTCGAATTCAGGCAGCTCATCGGGTAGTGGTCAAAGATAGTTATAAAAGATTTTTTAACGCTACTTATAAAGCATTACCTCTTTTTTATTTTTAAATATTAGAAAGGCATAAGGAAAATTTCCACAAATGGAAAAGAAAGAAATTCACAAGTTGAAGCATAAAAATGTCTTTCTAATTTGATCTTTTAACAAATAAATTTAACATATAATGAATTATTGCTCTACTTTCTATATTGAGTTCTGTTTTAAATTAATGTTATGAACGTTTGAATTTATATTCGTTTTGTTCTCTTTACATCTGTATATATATATATATATATATATATATATATATATATATATATATATATATATATATATATATATATATATATATATATATATATATATATATATATATATATTTGCCCAAACAAATATGATTGAAAACAGCCGACTGTTTCATTATCCATGGCATGTTCTTTTCAATTTTCAAATAAGATGCTAAGTATTTTTGTCAAAATTATGGATTACTGTCCAAAGTTCACATTTTGTTAGTGTTTTGTTTAAATATTATCGATTATCGATTTGTTCAAATATTATCGATTATCCCAGTTATTATCAAGAATCAATGCGTAGTCTGAAACGTACTTAAAATTCATTTGTCAGTATCCTGGTATTATTTGTAAATCCGGAACTTTGAATGTGCCGCCATGGCATCATGGGTAACGGTTATTGGCAGCGAGGCCGCAACAAAAAAAAGCGCATGTTTGTTTTTATTTATATTCATTTATTTCTTTTTTTATTTTTAAGCATTACGTACCGAGCAAGGCGTGAAGCCACTAGGATGCAGGGGTTGCAGAAGATTTGGAGCGAGAGCAGATAGAAGTGATAGAAGAAAGGATGAGGAGAGGGATAGTGGGTAGATCAACATAACATGATGTGTCGATTGACATTACATTTGAATAGTTGGAGATTATAGCTCTCAGGGAAACAGTAATTGGGAAGGGTGTTCCACAGGCGAGAGGTGCGAGGTATGAAGCTATTTGAGTAGAAGAGACGGCTACATTTAAAGGTTTCTACAGTGTAAGGGTGGGAGCGGGATGCCAGCCTCGTAGGGCGCTTAAATTCATGGAGTCTGGGAACCAGTGAAAGCAGCTCATCGGGGCAATTACCATGAAAGTATTTGTAGAAAAGACAGAGAGAGGCTACGGCGCGTCTGTGAGAGAGTGACTGTAGACGAGACGCCAGATCAGGGCCAATTACATTACATATCCGTCTCTGAATCTTGTCAAGAACTCCGAGGTAAACAGAGTGTGCCCCAGACCATATATGGCAGCAATACTCCATGCAAGGGTGAATGGTTGATTTATATATGTAAAATATCGATTTCGGGGAGAAAACATTTCCTGGCGAGGCACAGAGAGCCAACTTTCCTCGCGGTGGAAGAAGCAATTGACTCAATGTATTTGTTCCATCTCAGGTCAGCAGTTAACGTGAGACCGAGCAGACGCAGGGAGTTGCTGTCAAGAAGTTGACTCTCAGACATTCTAATGAGGGGCAGGGAAGGATCTCTATGGTGATTAGTAGAGAGTAGTTTAGTTTTTGAGGCGTTAAATTTGGGCAGCAAATTCTTGCCCCAATTAACAACCGATTGGAGGTCCATTTCAAGACGGACGGCCAGGTTAGTTTTGTCACCGACACTAGATTTGTTTTTACACATCTCTCTCTCTCTCTCTCTCTCTCTCTCTCTCTCTATGTATATATATATATATATATATATATATATATATACATATATATATATATATATAAGTAAAAAAAGAAAGAACGGTAAGATATAAAATCCGGTGTTCTTATAGATATTTTTATTTTTACAAAAAATTCGCTTGAAGATGAAATGGAACTAAGGCTTTTAATTTAATTGCAAAAATTAAATTCGGGGTTTTTAGCTTCTATTTTTGAAACATGGTTGGAACTGTGTAGCGAAAAAAACCATATTTATATCAATTAATTTATAATATTATATATATATATATATATATATATATATATATATATATATATTTGACGAGCGCACACACACATAAGCAAAGAAACAAAACCACTCATACATACACACTTACTCTCACAAACTCATACACCTATACAAACATATATATGTTCTTGACTTTTTCATTTCGGGCTTAAACGACAGTATGTGGGAATTTATTAAATATTTAAAAGATTTTGTGAAAAGCTAAAAACGAAACCGGTTGTAGTAAAACGATTTTTTCTGAAAACTCACATGTAACCATTTTAATAAGTTTCTGTAAACATACTTGCTTTATAAATATTTCATATAAATATATAAAAAACGTTAGGTGTTTTTCCAAATCTTATTTTCTCATTGTCTGCCTCTCTTTCTATCTTTCTCTCTCTTCCTCTCTCTCACACTTTTTTTCTCTCATTTCTTTTATATATATATATATATATATATATATATATATATATATATATATATATATAAGCATTAAATTAATTTCTTCGTGAAGTTTTCTCCGAAAACCTTTTCTTTTTACTTCCCTTTCCTTTTTTTTTTCTCTTTTTCTTTTCCCCATATCATTTCCGTTGTTGACCGATTAAATAGGACAATGTCTGATCCTTACCCGCTCCTTCCTCATATTAAGTATTATAAATAAAAGAAATATAAAAATAAATTTTAAAACTCTCCCTTCCCTCGCTAAACTTGACCATGTCTCTCATACCATTCCTCACCACACTCTATGTCAACTTATATAAGCTTAATACTGCCCGTCAAAAGTGTAAATTTTAATTTCATTTTCCGTTTCACATTTTGAAAGTGATGTCTGAAGATCCGGGGAAAAATAAAATTCTCTTGTGAAATAAATTATTACAATGGAAACTTAAAGTGCTCTGTTTTTCTTTAAATTAAATATATATATATATATATATATATATATATATATATATATATATATATATATATTCTGTTGTATGGATATGAGTTTGTGAATCTGCGTTTCACGCTTTTGTGATCATCAGACAAACTGGTTTAATTTTTAAAAATTGAATGTATTTATGCTTGCGTGTGCTTGATTATGTTTGGAGGTGGGGGTGAACATTCTCTGTGTTTGTTTGGGATGACACACTCTCTCTCTCTCTCTCTCGCTATCACACATACACACACACACACACATACACACATATGTCAATCGGAAAAAAGTATTTTCTACTTGCCAATGGGATTGGTTATTCAACATTATCAAGGCAAGTGACGATAAACACAAGTGGAATGTTTTGTCGTTACATGAAATTCAAAATATTTTAAACAAGCTGTTGTGTAAGCCTAATTTTAGATATTAGTATTTTTCTTCTTTTTTGTTCTTTTTCTTAAAACTAAATGTGTGTTTTTGTTTTCCATGTCGACAATCTGTTAAAATTCCTAGTATCTAGCTGTAGAGAAAACAAATTGAATAAAATAGAGGATAGG